AGATTGGAAGAGACAGTGGTGGGCTCTACTCCCTCTTTCACTGGTATTTTCTGACCTGCCTCAGTTTCATCTGTAGCAGGGGCCACCACAGCTTAATGGCACTGTTAGTAGAAGCTCTGCTGGCAGGGTGCCCTTTTATTTCTTATAGAACTCATTCTGAATTGTTGGTGTTGCCAGGCGGAGGCCAAGGATATAGTGAAGCCAAATGCTATAGATTCATCTTTGGTAGGCTTGGTCTGGTTTTCTTGCCACTGTTAACCTCCCTGGTGGTTTTGGTGAGGCTATTTATTGACTGAGCAGGCTGGTGGGCGGGCTCTAGCCAGAGTGGAGAGCAACAGCTTCTGGCATTGGGAATCTGACATGATTGAATTACCAATAACTAGCAACTTTAGAGTTTCTTGAGGGAGTTAGTTATTTAGCCCTTGGAAACTGGGGAGGGCAATGCCATATTATTTAGTTATTTCATCTGGAATTGTTCTTTGGCAATGGTAATTAAGCATCATTTAGTGTGAAGGCTGCCACACCTGGTAGCCTTGTAGACCCTGGGTCTGTGTTGTGGTAAAAGACAGGATTCTGGTTCCAGGGACTCTTTGTTTGGAAGCCATCTCTGGTGAGTTGATCTCAGCTCTTTGCTGGGGCTGCCCAGCTCCCCTTTTTCATGCTGCGGATGGCAGAACCATTTGTCTGTCAGGGCTTTATGCTCCCAGCCTTGGGGAAACTGAAAGTAGGTTCACATTTATAACAAAATGAGGAATTGTTTCTTCCTGTTGATCTGTGATTCTCTAACTTGAGTGAGCAGGCTAATCAGGTTCCTCTTCCTTAAAGTTAAATGCATTTTCTTAGGTTATGTTTCTGCCTTACCCTCCCTCCTAGTCAATCTCTTTGATCCTATGTCTGAAGTCTGTATTTATAACAGGAGATCCTGTGGAAACGGTCTTATTTCTAGAGTCTCTTGTTGAAGCTGTTACTATTTTTTGTTTTCTTTATGCTGTAACTGATTGTACATTTGAAATGCAGGGATGTTGGGACTATGTGAACAGCTTTGCACAGAGATAAAAGGAAGGTTTAGACCTACATATGCAAGTGCTAGCTTGGCTTTTATCTTCTATGATGGGAAGGGGTTGGTGCTTTTATTTTTATTAATTCTCATCCAAGGATATTTTTTCCATTGATTTTAGAGAGAGAGTAAAAGGGAGAGATTGGGGTGGGGGAGAATGGAGGGTGGGGTGGAATAAAAGAGAAACATCGATGTGAGAGAGGCACATTGATTGGTTGCCTCCCATACATGCCTCAAGCAGAGCTGGGGTTGAGCCTGCAACCAAGGGTACATGCCTTTGACCGGAATCGGACCCGGGACTCTTCAGTCCCTGTGCCACGCTCTATCCACTAAGCCAAACCAGCTAGGGCCCCTATCCCAATACACACAAGGCTGGGCCTCAGATTCTTAATTGTTTTACTGCTCTTTGTTCTTGGTTTAAATTTAATGCAACTTTTATTTTAATGAAGCATCAGAAGAGTGAATTGTTTTTGATAGATCTTTATCTGTATAGATGAAAAGAAAGGCATACTATTATCTTAGACATAGGTAAGGCATTCTTAAAGAAATTTTTAATTTCCATAAGTTTGTTATAGTATTGTGGTAGGAGCTCCCGTGTATTTATGCTTTGAAAAGTTGTGTCACTTTCATGAAACTGCAAGTTAAAATCATGATATCTTCTTGAATTCTAGGTACTTACACTGTGAAATTTTATGATGGAGTAGTTCAGACTGTCAAACATATTCATGTCAAAGCTTTTTCCAAAGATCAGGTGAGATATGTGGTTTTGTGCTTTGTGGTATGAATAATACTAACATTATAGTTTTGTTTCTCAAATAAAGACATTACCTTTGTTTATGATGGCAAAGTTTTTATTTCCTCCATCTGACACAATTTCACCAGGAAGCAAGGTGCACATTTTCAGAAATTGTAAATATTAGTCTCTCTCTGCCATTTTCTTTCTTTCTTTTTTTTTAAAGATATTTTTATTGATTTCAGAGAGGAAGGGAGATGGAGGTAGAAACATCAATGATAAAGAGAGATATCATAATATTTTTTAAAAAATATATTTTATTGACTTTCCACAGAGAGGAAGGGAGAGAGACAGAGAGCCAGAAACATCGATGGGAGAGAAACATCGATCAGCCACCTCCTGCACACCCCCCAATGGGGATGCGCCCGCAACCCAGGCACATGCCCTTGACCGGAATCGAACCTGGGACCCTTCAGTCCGCAGGCCGACGCTCTATCCACTGAGCCAAACCGGTTTCGGCCTGCCATTTTCTTTTAACATAGATTCTTTTTTTTCAAAAGTGCCAAGTACTTGGATACCATTACCTGTTAATCTGTTTTCCTTATCTTTTCATTAAAGTGTCTAGTTATTATTCTTTATTTTCTCTTCATGTGTCCTGCCCCCGGCACAGGAAACTTCCTGTACTGCTTGAGGAGATCTAGAGTTTGTTTTCTCCTTGTCTAACTTTATCTTTAAGTTCAGGACCATGACATGGTGGTTACAGAGCTACAGTTTGGCATGGATTTGGCAGTCACCTATGCTAGATGTGCCTGCATTGAAAATTTTATTTCCTGTCCCAGGCATGTATTTGCCTGAGCATAGGACCTGCTTTTGATGTTGGAAATACGGTGTGCACAGATATGGGCCATCTAGAAGTGTTGCCTAATTTCTTCATAATTTTTTTCCATTTTGTCTTCTTTATGTTTTCATGAAGTAGTTGAGGGGAAAGAGATCAAAAGTTGGATATTGATGTTTTTAAAAACTGATTATTACTATTACTCACCTGTTTGGTGGTTCTTGATGTGACAATATTTTGTGATGCTGGAACCTGTTGTATTTTTTCTTATGATGATCAAATGCTTCTCATCACAAATTTTTGTAAATTCTTTTATACATATATTTAGCAATTTCAAAGGATCATGATAAATGATGTGTTTAAAGGTAACCTAACAACGTTTTGGCCTTTTGATGATTTTCTGCTTCAGAAAATTGACAAAATTATAAGGCTTTACCCCTGAAGATGTTTTCTCTTTGATAACTTGCCCCGTAGAGCTACACAGTATTCTAAAACATTATCTTGGTGTTCTTTGACAGTTTTTGTGTGCAGTTCATGGAATGAGTTAATATAGATAGAGGACCATATTAAGAACTTGCCCAGAATTGTCAGATTGTGTTCAGAACCTCCCCAAGTGGAAATTCAGTGCTCCAGAAAACAAACGTTCAGCTGTTTATTCTGCTCTACTCAATAAACTAATTGATAGGCTGTTGGTGCTTTGGCTTGGAGTTGGGCACCTTATCCAGTATGAATTTATGGGTGCTTCAGTTTTCAATTTCCACATGCCTCTGAGTGTCTCACCTTATCTCAGACTTGGCGGGTGGTCAAACACAGGCCTGTGGCACCTATTTACTTGTGTTTTTCCCCCAAGAGTACATATAATTTGGATAAATGACTTCTTAGCTCTTTTTGACCCTATTAATCTAAGGTTCTGTAATGGCCATTTATAAAGCAAAAGTTCTTTTAAAAAATCTAACAATTTTTAAAGCGTTTTTCATATATATTAGAACAGATTGAGATTTCTTTTGTAGGACCACACTGTCTCAAAGTTTTGATAAGCTATATTTTAGGAACATTTATATATTTTTTGAAGTGTAAAAAAAGTTTGCTATAGAAAGTTAAGAAAGTACAGAAAAGCACAAAGAAAGTAAAAACTGTAAGTCTATCATCTAGATATAATTACTGTTAATTATTAACATTTTGATGTATATCCTGTGTTTTTTGTTAAATATTTATGTGTATACATATTTCTTTTCAAAATTGGAGTCATATAGTATATTACTGTACTATAACTTGCTCTTTTCTTTTAATAAAATAACATTTCCCAAGTTTCTTTTTAAAAAAGTTAATATATTGTTATTGATATCAGAGAGGAAAGGAGAGATAGAAACATAAATGATGAGAGAGAATCATTGATCGTATGCCTCCTGTATACCCCCTACTGGGGATCGAGCCTGCAACCTGGGCATGTGCCCAGACAGTAACTTCCTGGTTCATGGGTCGATGCTCAACCACTGAGCCACACTGGCCGGGCTTCCCAAGTTTCTTAATTCTGTATGTGAATACGGCTTTTAATGGCTATAATATAGTATTTTATAAGATGTGTATATCCTTCCTTGTGTAACCAATTCCCTAATGATCATGTTAGGATATTTGTAAATCTGGATGTACAAGTCTGATTATTCTGTTAGCAAATTTTATTTCTAGGAATTCATTCTAGTTCAAAAGTATAAAACTAAGTCTTTTGACCTGAATTGCCTGCCGCCCACTTGAGCCCTCACCCTCCCGCCCCGCAAGCTGGGTACACCAATTTATATTTCTGCCAGCAGTTATTGAGGGATGCTTGTTCTCAAACCTGGCTGCTTTCAGAAAATTTTGTGGACTTGAAAAAATATTTCCTTCTAAGTTCTAACCTCAGGGATTCTCCTTGTTTATTATTGTTCCCTATGGGACAAATTAAACTTTTACTCAGTGAGTATTTTAGGCACTCCTCCTGCTTCTGACAAAGGTCTGTGTACTTAGTGGGTGCTTAGATGCTGGGGCTCCCATATGAATATGATATGGTAGAGATTGAGGTCTTGGAAGAGAGATACATATACAAATAAACTTAATTATAGTTTTGGAAACTTCAGAGCTGGCTTTATTATGAGACATTCATAATAAATTAAAGGTGATTTTTAAAGAAAGTAATTTAGGAGGAAAGTAACTTCCTCCTGATAGATAAAAACTCAGTAACTAACTCAAGAATACAGACGGTGGCTTGTTGGACTGAGCACAGCCTTTACCCAGTAGAGGAAGCAAAGACTCTGTTTCTGGGTTGGAAAATCTTTACAACTTTCCTTTCTGCCTCTAGTTATCAGTATGGGTTCTACTCTACACAGGGAATCAGCATCCACTGGCACACTAAGCCGGGCCTCTGAGAGGCCCTGGGTCAGTGTAATCATGCTTGGGATGAGGCATTTTCTTAGAAAGATTGCTTTCCACCAGAGGTTCCTGTGGTAGTTATCTGTCCCTTTATTTTCTAGTGACTTATTAATCTTAAGGGAACTAAAGACCATTGTTTTCTTTAAATTTAGGATTGGTTCTCAAGCCTCAGATTATGGTTAGATATTTTTAGTGGTAACCATTATGTGACTTGGCATTATGTCCTTTTAATTTCTGTATTTATCTTCATAAGTTTGCAAAGAACTATCTGGTTTTATATTTGCTCGTAATCACAAAGTGTGTTTCATCGCTATTTTGCTCATTTTAGAATATTGTGGGTAACGCTAGGCCTAAAGAAACAGATCACAAAAGTCTTTCATCATCTGATAAACGAGAGAAGTTTAAAGAGCAGAGAAAAGTCACAGTCAGCCTGAAGAAAGACAAAGAAGACAAAGCCTTAAAGACAGAAAAGCGAACCAAGCATCCTGATAAAGAAGGAAAATTAATCTGTTCTGAAAAGGGAAAGGTGTCAGAGAAAAGCCTTCCCAAGAACGAGAAGGAAGATAAGGAGAACATTTCAGAAAATGACAGAGAGTACTCTGGAGATGCTCAAGTGGATAAGAAACCTGAAAATGACATTGTGAAGAGTCCACAAGAAAACTTGAGGGAGCCAAAAAGAAAACGAGGCAGACCCCCTTCCATAGCTCCTACTGGTGAGTTTCCCAAGTGGGCTCTGCAAGGACAATGCCAGTGTTTTTCTGTGGCCCTATGTGGTTCTTTATCACTTCTATACATCAATCCTTCATTTTTGTGGCTGACTTTGAATTGTTCTATGATCTGAAAACAAGTCATGTCCCTGAAGCTGGATTTTAAGAGAGAAATGTATCTAGATGAACATAAGTTGGGAAACATGGCAGAGATTGAGCTGCTGAGGGGTACATAATTGCCCTCTAGATACTTCAGCTTTTATGATAAAACCTAATAAGCTAAGGCTTTTTACTAGTGCCTATTTAAATGATCTCAGTTTAAGTGAGCTTAATAGAACCTGGGATCAGGAAATACAGTTTTTATGAGAGACAAGAAAGAGGAAAGGAGACGTAAAATAGGTGTGGGCATCTGAAGGAAATTTACTGAAGGAAATGGTGCCAAAGACCTAGAAATGCATGGGTGCAGTTGAAATTGAGTTCTCTGGAGAGTGATTATTGATTGAAAAATTTCACAGTCTAAATAAAAAGCTGAGATGGCTAATTGGTAAGAGTCAAGGTTAAAGGATACAGACTTAGAAAAGAATGTGCAGTTGTTAAATGAAATTGAAATTTGGAATTTTTCTAGAATAACCCAGAATGAAACACACCCTGAATTTCTTCCTAAGTCAAACACTTCCCTAGATCGAGTCAATGGCATGAAGAATTCCCAAAAGATCTCTAAACAGAATGCCTATGATTATCTGGCAGTGGTCTTCAGATATTCTGGCTTGCATATTCTCTACATGAATATTGAAAAACTATCAATCCCCTAGGACAGTGGTCGGCAAACTGCGGCTTGTGAGCCACATGGGGCTCTGAGCTGCAGTTTGCCGACCACTGCCCTAGGACATTTGAAAGTGATACCTACTTTTTCTCCCAAGTTTGAAAGTTGCAAAAGATATATAAATGTTATTTTCATCAAAATTGTGGAACTACAGAATTAGTTCTTTCATTGTTTCCAAAGCTAGTTCTGTCAATCCAGACTGTTACATCAGACTTAATTTCTGTGGCAAAAAGTCCACCTTAATTTACTTAAAATAAATGCATTAGTCATCATTCCCAGTAGACCTTCTCACATCTGAGTTCTAATTTTAAGATAGAGAATTAGGTGGATTGATTTCTTCCCAGATGAAATAAGGCACATTTTCCTTTAGTGGTTGTAACTGGGTTTTGTCTTCAAAAGCTGAGCATGCTGGAATTGTCTCTAGACAAATCTAGGGCCTAGACCTGTGCTGTCCAGTATGGTAGCTGCTGGCCCGTGTGGCTAGTGAGCACTTGAAATGTAGCTAGTCTGAATTGAAATGTGCTGTAACTGGATTTCAAAAACTTAGTACAAGAAATCCCACAAGAATGTAAAATATCTCAATTTTTTATATTGGTTACATGTTGAAATAATTTTGGATGCATTGGGTTAAATAAAATATATTCTTGAAATCATTTTCACTTTTTTCTTTAACTTCTTAATGTAACGACTAAAATTTTTAAATTTACATACATGGCTTGCATTTTGTGGCTCTCATTATATTTCTGTTGGACAGCACCGGCCTAAATTCACTGGCTTTCTCAACAGCGTTCCGGGAGAGAATTAAACTCTAATACCCAAGGTATCCATGATCTGTAATGAATTGACTTATCTCCTGTGCATTTCAAATGGTACTAGTTATAAACTACCCTTGGGAGAATTGAAAAAAATAACCTGTGTATTTGGTGTTCAAATGAGGAATCCTAGTTGAGAATGTAGAGGTTTTAAACCTGGACAGTGTGTCATGTAGAATGAGTGAGAGACAGGTGTTTTTATGTAAATGGGAGAAGTGGAAAAGGTGAACTGGCAGAAATCAAATGTCTCCCTTCTCAGTTTAGGAAAGAGTATGTAAACATGGGAACTGAGTGTTGTGAAACTGATTCTTCTTTAGCTATTCATGCTCTGGCTTGTACTCTCTGGAAAGTATGTATTGGGGTAATTGCTCTTCAGCTTGCAGACTTCTCTCAGATAAAAAAAAAAGCCATCCAATTTATTGCTTTTATTTTGTAAGTGTAGGATTTCATACCAGTTAGAATCAATTTCGTATTTTCCAAGCTTACTGTTAACACTTGCCTTCCTTCCTAGTCAGAATCTCTGGAGCAGGGTTTGGGAATGTGAAATGTTAAACAACCTTCCCAGATGATTCTTACTGTAAGAAAGTTTGGGAAACACTGAAGTTCAATGTAGTCAGCCCCAGTTTGTATATGGTATCAAAGTGAAGAATACTTGCCATATAGCTTATAATATAGTTCATTTCCCCTTTAAAAATTGCTTGGAATAAGTTTATTGACTCAGTGGAGCCTTGAGCTCTCTATATTATAGACTTGATTGGGACAGCATCTGAGCTATTTAAGGAGAGTTGTTTGTGTTTAATCTGGAATGTGTGTGACCTCCAAGATCCCTCCACTTGGAACAAAATAACGTTGGTACATTGGGAAAGTTGAACACAGGAAGAGCCAAGGAGTTCAGCACTCTCATCTTGTTTGCTTCCTCAGAGCTCAGCCTTGTCTCTTGTTTGGCCATCTGAGATGGCACATCTGAAGCTACTGGCGTTAGATGAGTCTTCTCTCCCCTCCCTCTACCCTCCTTTCCTTTCCTCTTCGCTTCTAATTTCTTTCCTTTCCTCCTTCCTTTTTATCCTCTCTCCTTTTAACCTTCATCAGTCCCCTTAGCCCTGCCTTCTCTCCAACACTTCCCAATTTCTTACCTTTTGTTTTTTCTTCTACTTACCTTTTGGAATTTTATCTTTCCTGATTGGGGAAGAGCTTCTTAAGTATTAGATTTAAAAATAAAGACTACTCTCAGAGGGTTTAGTGTTTGCACTGCTAAATCATGTCACTGGATTTGCTAGTGATCAGCAGTCTGTCCTGGAACTTTGACTGTCAAATAGAATAGCCTCCTGATATTTTTCTGGAATTGTTTTTAGAGGTTATAAATTTTGACATTCTTTTTAGTCTCTCAAAACTAGGATCAATGCCAAGCTAACTAATTTAGCAAGTAGCGATGGAAAACAATCAAGCTGTGCTTCCAGGGTTCACATTTTATGAATCAGCCTGCATGGTAGATTTTCAGAATATTGGATAAGTCAAGTTTTGATTAAAAGATTTGATGCTGTGCCCTGGCTGGGTAGCTCAGTTGGTTAGAGCATCTTGCTGATACACCAAGGTTGTGGGTTCGATCCCTGGTCAGGGCATGTACAAGAATCAACCAATGAATGCATGAATAAGTGGAACAACAAATTGGTGTTTCTTTCTCTCTCCTTCTTCCTCTCTCTCTCTAAGAATCAGTAAATAAAAAAATAAAAAAGACTTGATGTAATAAAAATGACTTTAATATTGCTCTTGCACTTTCATATTTTAAAGCAGTCATATTGGGATATAGTGTTTTAAAGAGAGGGTTTCAGGACAGAAGTATATGACTAGAGCTGGGTCATGAATGTCCCAGCACCTCCAAGGAAATAATTTCTCACCCATTTCAACCCTCCCCCACCCATCTTTAGCTTAAGTAAGAATGCTCCTTGGTCTGTTTGTCATGCAAGGGTGTGTGTGTGTGTGTGTGTGTGTGTGTGTGTGTGTGTGTGTGTGTGGGTTGTGTGTGTGTGTGTGTGTGTGATATTTATACCTAACAATGAGGATTGGAGCACTCAATCCTCATTGTAATTACATTCCTTGTTTGTGTGGTTTTATTTACATTGTAGCTGTGGATTCAAACTCTCAAACTTTGCAACCAATAACATTGGAATTGAGAAGACGAAAAATATCAAAAGGAAGTGAAGTTCCATTAAAACGTCCTCGGCTTGACAAAAATTCATGTGAGTCTTCAGTCTGTGTATGTGTGCTTAGAACTTGGCTTCAGTTGGGTTAGCCTCCTCCGTATCCATGTTTCCCCTATGCCCTATAGGCTCAAAGATGTGTCCTTGATTGTAGGATCTAATGTGAGTGGGATGTGGTTGGATCAAAAGGAGTTTTGCTAGAAGAAAAATAAATCTCAAAGCATGAACTCCATTAATGTTGGGTTTAGTGATGTCATTTCCATACCCATAAACTACATTTGATTTGAATTCCACTGGAAATTTAATGACTTAGGAAGGGATGGATTTCATATGCTGAGTGAAACTTTAAAAATACTATTTATTGATTAAAAAAAAATCCTGTTGGCTCCAAAAATGATTTGTGATGGCTCTAAGGCTCTATAAACCTTATTGACTTTGAAAGTCAGTACATAGACTTTTATGGTAGAAAGCTCCAACATAGAACTTAGTTGTTAAGATTGGGACATGACATTAAGATTGGGACATAATGTTGGCACATATATGTAGACTATGAATCCTTAAATAAAGGAAGTTCTATCCTGGCAGAGTGACTGTGCCTTTACTTATAGCCATAAACCAAGGAGGAATATTTCCTTTAATCACTGGTCTAATATTCCAGAAGTCTCTGTAAAGCCCTTATGGAGGACAGCCAGCTTAGAAATCTGTAGTAGCAGAGTTATTTCTTCAGGTCTCTTGACTATAACTCTCTTTAATGGTTTATAGCCCAGGAAAAGTCAAAAAACTATCCAGAAAACACTGACAAAGACTTATCAAGGAGACGGTCCTCCAGGCTGTCCACAAATGGGACCCATGAGATCTTAGATCCAGACTTGGTTGTATCAGATATGGTTGATACAGTTAATACTGACTCTTTGCAAAATACATCATCCAGTTCCAAGGAGTCTGAAGAAGGTAAGTCAAATTCTGTTAAGGAATTGTATTCCCAACCTGATGCTTGTCCTGTGTGAACCAATCTAAATCTTTGGTACTACCTTCCACAAGTTTTAGATGGTCTTGAAATCAAGTTATTGAATGGGCTGCAGTGTTTTTTATTGTTCTTCACTGATAACTTTTTGAGATTGGTTTTCCTTATATACATCTGAATATTGGGTTGGATGTACAATGCTTGAAGAGCCCTGCCCTCCTCTCTCTGTCTTTCTGATGCCATCTCATTCCAGTGCCTGTGCTTTGTTAGTTAATGCTTCTGACAAGTCCTCCCTTCACTGTAGCTTCTTATTAGCCTTTTTGAGGTGCTCCAGCCCTGGCTATATGTGCTAGAGCCTGTGAATCTATTCTTTTATGCTATGAGATGAATGGCTTCCTGTAAAAAGTTCCTGGTTTTCTTAGTCTGTTGAAGTACTTTTGATACCCAGATTATATACATGTATATGCTTCCCATATACTTTTTTTTTCCTTCCAGGTCAGTTGAAATCTCCTTTGGAAGCTGGCCAGATCTCATCTGCACTAACTTGCCACTCCCTGGGGGATGGATTGGGGGTTACAGACTTGGAGTTGAACTGCAAGTCAATGGGAGAAAACGCTATGAAAACAGAACCGGCTTCTCTCCTTACTGAGTTTCAAGAGATTTCTACTGTGGCAGGTTCATATTCAGAGTTAACATAATTCTCTCCTAATATATACTTTTGATTGTGAAGTATAATTAATGGGTTTTTCTAACCTTTTATTAATATTCCCTTATTTTAATGTTATATCTTTTCATTTCTCATATTGCTAGCTTGTGTTTTCTCTTTTCTTGATTAGTATGATTAGGGGTTATCAGTTTTGTTTGATAGTTTCAAAGAACCAACCTATTTTTCTCTATTTGTCTTTTTAAGGTGTCATTGATTTCTGTTTTGACCTTAATTGTTTTCAGAGTTATACATTTTCCACTAAGCACTGCTTTGGCTGCATCCTACACATTTTGTTACGTTCTATTTTCATTTTCATTCAATTCAAATATCTTGTGACTTATTTGTTTTCCATGGGTTACTTAGGGCATGCGTTTCATTTCTAAGTAATGGGGTTTTTAAAGAAACTTGCTGTTATTGATTTCTAATGTAATTCCATTGTGGTCAGAGAATGTACTCTGTCAATTTTGCTTCATGTATTTTGAAGTTCTGTTAATAGGTGCATACATATTAATAATTGTTATGTCCTCCTGATTAATTGCCCCCGTGTAATATGAAATATCACTTTGTTTTTGATAATAGCATTTGACTTGAAGTTTGATATTAGTGCAGAGGTACTTACTGTATGCCTGGTATATTGAACACTTTCTGTTAACATAAGTGTGTTTTTAAATTCAAAGTGTGTCTTTTATAGTTAGAATATAGTCAAGTTTTGCTTTTAACTACAATGTTTAGTCTATTTACATTAAGTATAATTTTTAAAAATACATATATTTTATTGATTTTTTACAGAGAGGAAGGGAGAGGGATAGAGAGTCAGGAACATTGATGAGAGAGAAGCATTGATCAGCTGCCTCCTGCACACACCCTACTGGGGATGGGCCCGCAACCAAGGTACATGCCCTTGATCGGAATTGAAACTGGGACCCTTCAGTCTCCAGGCTGATGCTTTATACACTGAGCCAAACCAGCTAGGGCTAAGTATAATTATTGATATGGTTGTTTTTAGTTCTACTATTGGCTTTTTATTTTCTGTTTATCCTCTCTGATTTGTTCTTTTCTGTTTGTTTGTTTTTTAGGTTAATTGAATATTTTTTCAGAATTCCATTGTAATTTATCTATTAGCTTTCACTTCTTAGCATTTGTTTTAGAAGTTACTCTAGGGATTATGACATATATCCTTAACTTTTCACAATTTAATTAATATTGAATCACTTTATATAAAATGTTGTATAGTTCCATTTACCCCCCTTTATGCTGTAGTTGTCATATGAATTTTATCTACACATACTACAAAATTCACAGTATAATATTATAATTTTTGCTGTAAGCAATTATATATTTTAAAGAAGACAAACGAGATAGTCTTATTTATGTACATGGTTATTACTATTTTCAGTGTCTTTCTTTCTTCCTAAAGATTTCTTTCAGCCTGAAAAATTTCCTTTAGTTTTTCTTGTAATACAGGTTTCCTGTTGACAGATTGTGTTGATTTTTGTTTATCTGAACATGACTTGATTTAACTTTCATTCTTGAAGGATATTTTCACTGGGTATAAGATTGTGGGTTTACAGGTTTTTTTGAAGTACTTTAAAGATGTTATTCATTGTCCTCTGGCCTCTATTATTTCTGAAGGGCAGTTAGTGATCATTTATATCAATGTTTCCTTGTTTGTAATGTGTTGTTTCCCTTTTTAGCTACTTTCAAGATTTTTCTCTTTATCTTTGTTTTTCAGCAGTTTGACTTGTTTAGGTTTGTTTTATTTTGTACTTTGTGTGTGTGTGTGTGTGTGTGTGTGTGTGTTTAGCAGTTTGACTTGTTTAGGTTTGTTTTATTTTTGTACTTTGTGTGTGTGTGTGTGTGTGTGTGTGTTTAGCAGTTTGACTTGTTTAGGTTTGTTTTATTTTTGTACTCAACCTGCTTGACTTTCATTTGAGCCTGATCATCAAATTTGAGCCATTATTTTTATGAATTTTTTTTAAAATATATTTTTTTTATTGATTTTTTACAGAGAGGAAGGGAGAGAGATAGAGAGTTAGAAACCACGATGAGAGAGAAACATCGATCAGCTGCCTCCTGCACATCTCCCACTGGGGATGCGCCCACAACCCAGGCACATGCCCCCGACCGGGATCGAACCCGGGACCCCCCAGTCCGCAGGCCAACGCTCTATCCACTGAGCCAAACTGGTTTCGGCTATGAATTTTTTTTTTTCTGTTATTCTCTCTGTCTTCTACCTTGTGAATTTACATTAGACTTTTGTAAATATGCTATGTTAGACCTCTGGTTAACGTAGCAGAATAGCTCTTTAAAAATAGTGTACTCAGGTATTTACTACTGGATCATCCATGGTTCTATAGGTTGGTTTTTTTGTTCCACTGTGTCAGAGTGTTGTGCCTTAGTCTCATGGATGCAAGTGATCTCGCTTTTCTTGTTGAGTCTCCTCTCTGTGGCAGAGATCCTCTCCTCCCAGCCTTCTTTTCTGTCATGTGGGGGAAATTACTAGAATTAATGTACAAATGAGATGGAAATTTAATCTCGGAGCTTAGTTGTCTGCTTTGGTAGGGAGAGCTCTAGATGAGTGGTCGCCAACCTTTTGGACCTCACGGACCACCAGTGGTCCGCGGACTAACGGTTGGCGACCCCTGCTCTAGATGACAGCTATATATCCCTTATAACTCAGCAGACTAAGCTCTTAATTATGTTGCTTTAAAGGTGGAAATTGAAAATGAATTATTTCTATACCACTAGAAAATAGGCTGTGTAGATGAGAGGAGTGAGGAGCTTAGGTTAGAGGCTAAATCCAGTGCCTGTGTTTTCTTGTTGTTGATCCTCACCCGAGGATATTTTTTCATTGATTTTTTTTTTCTTTCTTTCTTTTTTTTTTTTTAAGAGAAAGTGGAGGGGTGGAGGAATGGGGAGAGAAACATTGATGTGAGAGAGACACATTGATTGGTTGCCTCCCGCATATTTCCTGACCGGGGCCAGGGGTTGAACCTGCAGCCCAGGTATGTGCCCTGGGCCTGGAATCGAACCCGAGATACTTTTGTGCTTGGTCTGACACTCCAACCACTGAGCAACACTGGCCAGGGCCCAGAGCTTATTTTGAAGTTTACGTATTTTGTGGGATCTTGGGCTACCTCTTTCCAAGACACACACACACAATATCTATCTTTGTTGGTTAATTTAGCAGTGTCTCTGGTTTGTGTAGAGAATAGAAATAAGGTAAAGTGAGGGTGGGACGGGTGAGTCTTTAGGAAAGGAAAATGGAAAGATTTTATATATTCTTTTGCGTTTTTAGATTGCACAGAGGATTCTCTAGGGAATGATACTGAAACCACTGCCCGTTTTTTAAAATTTGTTTTATTAATTTTTATTGATTTCAGAGAGGAGGAGAAGGAGAGAGAGAGGGATAGAAACATCAATGATGAGAGAGAATCCTTTATCGGCTGTCTCCTACATGCCCCACACTGGCGATTGAGCCAGCAACTGGGGCATATGGCCTGACTGGGAATCGAACCATGACCTCCTGGTTCATAGGTCGACACTCAACCACTGAGTCACGCTGGCCAGGCCCCACTGTCTGTTTTCCAAGAGAATTTTTTAGTAATGATAGAGGTCAGATTACCATGAGCTTGTGCTGGGAGGTATAAATGCAGCATGGAACCTATTACTGAAGTAGGCTCTAAGCTTTTTGCTTTGATGACTTAAAAGCCAGAGGAGACGGAGTTGAAATTGTTCCACTTGGGTAGGCATTTGTTTATGATGTTAAAACAAAAATTAGAATAGATGCCCTGAGAAGTTCATTCAGTTCAGATTATTCTCTAAATGTGGGCCCCAGCCTATTGGGTATTCACAGATAGCCAGGACTATTTGAAAATGGGCTGCAGTCCATCATCATTATTATTTTTTTTAATCCTCACCCAAGGATATTTTCTCCATTGATCTTTGGACAGAATGGGAGGAAGGGAGAGGGGAAGAAAGAGGAGAGAGAGAGAGAGGGAGAGAAACATCGATGTGAGAGAGACACATTGATTGGTTGTCTCCTGCTCATGCCCCAACCCGGGCCAGGGATTGAACATGCAACCGAGGTATAAGTCCTTGAGTGGGAATTGAACCAGAGACCCTTTCATCTGTGGGCCAATGCTCTAACCTTGAGCACCACCCAGGCCCTTTCATTTATTTTAGTCAACAAATATTTAGTAAGTGCCTACTAAGCTCTAGCTTCTAGTCTAAGCTGTCTTATTTGTGAATATTCTACATGAAACACAAAATAAACAAGAGAGAAGATCTAGCAGAAATATAGGTTCAATCAATAATTTTTTAAAAAAGCTAACTCCATGTTAGAAATGACATTTTGCCATGTGGTCTAGATCAGCAATTTTCAACCTTTTTCATTTCATGGCACGCATAAACTAATTACTAAGATCCCGCCACACACCAAAAAATATGTCTTTTGCCAATCTGACAGAAAATTTGTATAATTGATTTCTTCACACCGGATGGCTATTGTTGTGTTGGATGTTGTCATTCTCTTATTTGAGAATCTAAGGTAAAACAGTCAGTGCTACTGACTAAATAGTTTTAAAAATTCTTGTGGCACAGCAGTGTGCTGCTACACACGAGTTGAAAATCACTGGAGTAGATCAATGATTCTAACCCCTGGAGTCTTGATGTGTTGTCAGTTATAAACTAAATAGGAAGTTATTTGTCATTAAAGTATCAAAAGTTATTTACTTTTAAATTAACCAGTAATGTATATAATAGTTTTTTTTCAAATTATTTATTTTTAAATTAACCAGGTCAGATTTAGTGTAATGCTATAGTGGTTTAGCTTTCATGCACTTGAGTAGGTGGGTCATAAGGTTACAGTCATTGTAGTTTGGGAAGTTGTGGTGTCTATGATCTACCATCAGACATATGCTCTGGTGAAAAATTGGTTGAGAATTCATTTTTCCAGGGGTTAGAAATATGAGTGAGATATCTGGACAGTCCCCTTCTATGTTTCTCAGTCCAGAGGAATGAATAAAACTTCAGGAATCAGTAACACAAGAGAGAAAGTAAGATGGTGTCATGAGCAATACTTAGAAGACTGACAATGATAATATCTGTCTGAAAGTTGAACTCAGGACTCACTTGTTGAGCCTTTACTATATGCCCAGGAGCTCTGCTAACTGTTGAGTATACAAAGATGAATGGGTGCTCTTGGTCTTAGTATTCATTAAGTACTATTTGGATATAACTTTGGGAGAGAGATGATATTTAGGTTGATGCTTTGGAGACAGAGGTGGAAGAAGGTAGCACTTGCACAAGGCCTTGAGGGATGAATAGCAGTTAGGCATTTGAAGGTGGACATGGAGCAGCGTCAACAGCATAATCATAGGTTTTTTCTGAGACTGTCAAGTGTGCTTTCTGACTTAATTGCAGGCTTCCTGAAGTGAGTTAAGCTGAGCAGGTAAGTTACTGCCAAACTGAGGTCAGTTGCTTTGAGGAGTTTTTGGAACTACTGAAAATGCAGGATAGGGGAATAGCCCTGAAATGTTCACATAGCTCTCTTGTGTTGATAAGGTTGCTTTAGTCCTATGTAGCTATTCTGTGGCCTTAAGGTATTTTAAAGTATTTTTTTTCTGAATTGTTTGAAAATAGGTTGCAGATTTTTTTACCCTTAAATACTTCGGTGTATATTTCCTGAAAGCAAGGACATTCTTACCCTGGCTGGGTAGCTCAGTCGGTTAGTGCAGCGGTTCTCAACCTGTGGGTTGCGACCCCTTTGGTGGTCGAATGACCCTTTCACAGGGGTCGCCTAAGACCATCCTGCATATCGGATATTTACATTATGATTCATAACAGTAGCAACATTACAGTTATGAAGTAGCAACGAAAATAATTTTATGGTTGGGTCACAACATGAGGAACTGTATTTAAAGGGCCAGAAGGTTGAGAACCACTGGGTTAGTGCATTGTTCTGATATGCTAAGGTTGCGGGTTCAATCCCCAGTCAGGGCTCATACAAGAATCAACCTGTGACTGCAGAAATAAGTAGAACAAATCGATGTTTCTTCCCCCCCTTCCCCCTTTCTCTTCCCTTCCCCTCTCTCTCTTAAGTCAATAAAATAAAAAATGGACAACAGGGGGATGGGAGCATGAGTGTGTGTGCGGGGGGAGGTTGAGGGTTAATGGGGGAGGGGATAAGGACACATTTGTAATACCTTAACTAATAATAAAAAAAAAAATGGAAAAAAAATTAAAGAAGAGGCATTCTCTTATATTACCACAGTGTAATTACCAAAATCAGGACCTTATTTAAACTTGGCCAGTGATTTTACTGTTATCTTTACCTCATTTATGGGAGTGTTCTTATCTTCATTTAGTTACTCTTTTGATAACTTGTTTTTTTTATATATTGATACATTTGAAAAGAAATCCAGAAAAGTACAAGAATAGAAAAACTTAACATTTATGTCTCCTACTGCCCAGAACTATTAGTATTTGGCCATGAGGTCCTTTTGCTGCCCTGCATTGGGTCTGCTTTTTCTGGCCACTTACTACCTCTCCAACTTCATCTTTCCTCATTCTCCTTCTTACTGATTCTGCCCCAGCCACATAGCCTCCTTGCCATTCTGCAAGTACAGTAGTTACACTCTCACCTTTTATTCAGCACACTTTTATTGAATTCCTCTTCTTCCCAACCAGAGCAAATAGATCCGTTGGAAGAGTAATTTCATCAGCTAGGTAGTTAGTAATATTTAATTCATTGGCTCATTCAACAATTACTTGAGCAGCGTTTCTTATATACTAGAACTTTGAGGGGGGGAGAGGAAAGCTGGAGGGGGTTAGGAAAACACACAAAATGAATAACTCATCTCCTTGACACCAAGGAGGCACTTATAAGACTGGATTGTCCTTGGTACTTCTAGTTGGTAAATGGTGAATAGCATTATTGGTTGTTCATTGCCCAGCTAAAATATTTCTAATCTGCCATAATGTTGACAACTATTTTTTCCAAACAAAATTTCAAGTTAGCCCTATTTTTTGATGCTGTGATTCTTTTTCCAAGATTTCTGTTGGATATGGAAATTTAAAACTCAATATAAATGGCCAGATAAAGAATGTTTTGAAAATGTAAAAAAGTACTTTAATATGTTTTCTAAGGTTTTAAAGGGAAATCACTCGTTTCTCATTAATTTTCATCATTGAAAAACATAATAGAATTTAAGGTCATCCCACACTATGTGTATGTAGTATGGCCATCATTTTTGAGTCATAAGACAACAATGAAAGATTTTGTTTAATGTTAATTTTAAAAAATATTTTTTGTATTGATTTCAGAGAGGAAGGGAGAGGGAGAGAGAGATAGGAACATCAATGATGAGAGAGAATCATTGGTCGGCTGCCTCCTGCACGCCCCACACGGGAGCAATCCCGCAACCTGCGCATGTGCTCTTGGCTGGAATCGAAACCTGGGACCCTTTAGTCCCCAGGCCGATGCTCTATCCACTGAGTTAAACCGGCTAGGCCGGGCAATACTAATTCTTTATAAGTACTAGTTCTTGATGAATTTTCACAACTACTCTCTGAATTAAGGCTTCTGGGACCTCTATTTTATTTTATTT